GACTGGATTTTGTAGTAAATCTTGCAAATATTCTAAGAAGACAGGAATATTCGAACTAGGAGGTCTGTAACATACCGTAATCAAAATATTCTTAGCATTTGGTACTCTAATTTCAATGACAATTGATTCAGCAATTTCAGTCATACAATTAAGATTGCTATGAATAAAATAGTCAAAATGCTGATTGATATACAGAGCTACCCCACCTCCTCTTTTATTAACTCTACTATTTTCTAAAAGGACATAACCGGGGAGTGAATAATTATGAACCTGCAGATTCCCCAGATAACCATGTTTCGGTCAAAGCAATTGCAGAAAAATGTGTGTGTAAGGGAGTATCCGTTAGAAAGCGCAAGTTATCGAAGTTACAATTCAAACTCCTTACATTTAAGTGCATAATTGAAAATGTATTAGGTGTTTTGTTAAGAGATTTTAATTGATTCACAGTTAAGTAGTTGGAACTTGAATAATGGTTATCATTATCTTCGTTTAGGTCAGTAGCTAGATTATTAATTCCTTGAGATGCAAGATTGCCAAAATGAGAAGAATTTAGATCATTATTTTTAGTATTAATGTTTGGTCCAAACAAATCGTAAAGCTCATCATCGCTCAGTATACTGAAGGGAACGTTTTCAGCCATTAGGGATCAGAATATAACAAAAAATAAAGTACATTGTTTCCTGTACGGACAATGAGCGTGAGCGCGCGGGTAAGGCAGAGACCTGGGGAGAGAGAAAAGACGAGAGTGAAAAGAAAGTAGAACAGTTACAATACAAAGAAGAGGCTACACAAAAAGAAACATTGATACATTGATACGACTGGTAAACGATTAGATACACACACAATTTCGTGTGCATAATTGAATCACACATAAGCATGCACGGACATGGATGAGCTCCCATGTGTATTAAACATTAAACACGTTTGGAATGCCCGCCCGACACGAGATAGGCTCCAATAGAGCAACCAAACCCAAATCAGAGTAAACCTCCCAAACAAATGCAGGTGAAAATGCGGAACGCAAAGAATTGTTATTCAAACCAACACACCACATACGGTTAGCTAATTAATAATAAAAGCAAATGTGGTATGTCTTTGTGTCCTTATGATGACAATATACCGAAGATCAATTTAAAAAGAATGTACCATCTGGCCAGGTAAATCACCTCCATATGCAAAACAAAAGATTCAGTTATTTAAACATATTCACAATTTGACAGCAAGACAATCCCAAGCATGAAGCTAAAGTTGAAAATGCACGCTCTAGTTGTATGCATTACAGTAAATACAGAAATAAAACACCTTATCTCCAACTGGTCATTTGATTTGTTTGTAAACATTTTTTGATATATATATTTTTTTAGCACAGCTACTTAATTGCATACAACAGTCTTGAATAAACAACATGAACACCATATTATTTCGTTGGTTTATGGAGAAAATCGGGAAACATTATAGGAGGTACCACTTTTTACCTCAAAGATACAGAACTTAATACAGGTATTTCCAAAAGAAATGTTATATCCACATAATTTTTCTGAACGAAGGAAGACGCATTTATAACTTCCTTAATTACCCATGTATGCAAAACAAAGGATCAGTTAATTAACATATTTACACAAATCAATATGAAATTGAATGTAAGTCAATCTCATTTCACAACCAAAGAAAAGAAAAGAAAATAGTGCAATGAACAAGCATGCAGCCACAATCAACGACGCACGCCCTAGTTCCTTGTATCACCTATATTAAAGATGTAGGCGCTTAATTTACATGGTTAGCAGCTGTTGTTTGGCATAGGAAATGACATACATTGTTGGTCATTACGATGGAATTATTATTTTTACCCCAATTAATGGAAAGAGAATATATATTATTATTTCGATTCATACAACACCTACGTGGATCCTTGTCATTTGATTGGAGGATTGTTGGTCACATGATATTCAATAGATGTTCTATTGCACGGGTGTGCATTTTTGATTGCTTATTCGACGTGCATTTTGGGTTATATGCAGACTGCGTACCTCTCTGCCGTGCGCGTATACCTGCGTGTATCTGACGCGAAGGCAATTTGAATGTAATCGAGAAGGCTTGACTCTAACTTTAATTTATCGTTAATATAAGGAGTAAAGCATATTTATTGATTAACGTTCTATTAGATCTTTGTCGATGTTGTATAAAACAAATAATGAATGTTTTTCCTTCGTTATTTGTATACTATGAGGAATAAATCATTGTCAAAACCTTTCCATTAATTGGGGTAAAAATAATTATTCCACCGTTATGACCAACAATGTATGTCATTTCCTATGCCGAACAACAGCTGCTAACCATGTAAATTAAGCGCCTACATCTTTAATATAGGTGTATAGTTCTGTTTCAATGTATATACCATTTTATTGAAGCACATTTTTATCAATAAATTCAAACTTGATGGACAACCACGTACGTGGATCTCAGGAATTATTCCCATGATGATTATTTCCCTTTCTCACTCTTTACATGGCTCCCTTGTCTGTGTACAGAGAACGCATGTCTCCCAACACCCTGTCTAAATGAAGGTACATGTGTGGAAACTGAACTCGTTTACCAGTGTATTTGCATGGATCTATTCATCGGCCGGAACTGTGAAATAAGTAAGTGGTACAGCCAAATGAAATGGGAATTTAGGAAGCCAATTTCACAATACAAAGACACATATACTGATAAGTCAAAAATATGTACGTATGTATGTTAGTATTTATGTATGTAAATTTACATACATTATTCACATACACATAATAAACTCATGATTATCATGATTATTATTATCATTATTATTATTATTATAATAATTATTATTATTGCTATCATATATTATCATTGTTTATATTATGATAAGTATTATTGAAGATAACTCATCTTATTGTTTCAAATTGTCATTTTACCACTTTACATAGATGTTAATGAGTGTTCGATTGATACAAGTCTCTGTAGTAATGGAAGATGTGTCAACTTGGATGGATCCTACACTTGTGTCTGCAATGCTGGATTCACATTAGTCAATGCAAATTCTTGCAATGGTATGTCTAAATATACATTTTTATTTTTCAATAAGGAAGAAAATAGGTTTCATGACAAACTTTGTAAAATTGAAATTACAGAGAGATAAAAACAAACAAATTAACATCAAGTTCGTTCAGTTTTATGTAAAATTTTATGAAGGCATAGTTCATCATCCAAATAGCATTTTGATATAGTTTTTTCATGTGATTTCATAGTTACATATTCAGAAGTGTGTAAAAACTTTCCAAATGAGAAACATGAAGTGAAAAGCATACAAATTCACAACAGAAAAAATTTGGTAGAAATTTGGCCATTCAATTTGTAAGGGTATGAATAATTTAGTTGTTAATTTATATGGAAATTACTTGATACATTCCTTATAAATCATCTGACGAGAATGGTATAGCATATATTGTACACTTTCCATCTGTAGTCTCCTTATGGAAATCTTGTTTGATGAGAATACAAAACCGAATGCATGATTTTTTTGCATGTAGAAAACACATTGAAGTATCCATAAATAGCTTGGCTTCATGCCATTGTCTTGGTTTCTTTTTTGTATGTATATACAGCTCTCCCAAGCAGTCTGTCCACTAGTCAAGTGAATGTGCAGGTTACAGGACAAAGTCTGAATGGTCAAACCCTGACGTATACACCAGAATTAACCAATAGGTCATCGGCCAAATTCCTGGAATATGAAGTTGCATTCTGTTACATTGTAAGTATATCTTTCTTCACCAGTAAATGTGAGGAAATTGACGACAATTTTGTAGACTCAAATATGTACAAGTGATGCCTCTTCAGCTTGCAAATCCAACACACTACATAATCATCAAATATAACACATTAAGAGGTTCGTACAAATGTCAGGAAGTGCAGTAGTCTACTGGAACTTTGTAATAAAGTGTTGGTTCCTTCTGAACAAATGCTACTTGTAGATCCATGAAAAAAAGAGAATATACTCGTAGTCCTTTTGGTATGCCTCCGCCACTGAAGATGGTGCAGAAGACAGTGTTTGTATCGTCTAGCCAGTCCGTCCTCCGTTCTTTCCATTTTAACCAAACTTGGATGAAATACCAATCATATATCTTGTTTACGCAATACCTCGAAAACACATTGAAGCAATTCACACCAAACTTGGATGAAGTATGCATGAGCATTCAAGGATGAACTGATTGGATCTTGGGTGAAAGATGTCAAAAGTCAAAGGTCACATGGTAATGAAAGCGTTAAACTTACCAGAAAATATATCTTCACTGCAATAATGGGTTGATGTCAAAGTCAGAGGAACATTGGTCAACTTACCAGAGGCATCTTGGAGACTCAGTCATATTCATGCTCTTCAGACTTCAGAGTTTTCTTATTTCTAAATAAATCAGTTTTGTCTCCTCACATTAACAGCATATTATAATATTATTTCCACTCCTTCTTAGTTTGATCATACAAATTTGAATATTTATTGAATGAACCAGTGCAAAAGGAAATTTCTAAATGTATGTTCAAAATTGCCAATCTGTACACGAAAATAGTGATAAATGATTAGTTCTAATCTAATCGCTTCGATTTGAGAATGGCACAGTGTACTGCATCTGTGATTTTGGGGAGTGATTTTTGCTATTTCTGATCATGTTTATTGTGTACTTCATAGCATTCTAGATCTAAAAAAAAACATGCTTAAATTTCATTACAGTAAGAGGAGACACTCTACTAGTATGGGTTATTAGTCTTTTATTTCTGATAATGTTGATGTTTCTAGAAACTCATAGTTTATATCAATTTGTGTACACTACATAATCACCCTGTCTCTATTGAATGTTCAGTGCATGACTGGAACTGAACTTTATCTTTGAAAAAAAGGAAATATATTTTCATGAACTACACATATGTGTACAAGCATACTCTGATTCTGGTTTTCTCTACTTTTTCATTTATCAGTTCAGCCAATATGTGATGGAATGGTTAGGTTCTACACTTTACAGTACAAATTGCATAGTGCTGTCATTCAGGCAAGGTAGCGTAGTCGGTGACGTGCAAGTGCAACTTGCTGCTGAGAGCCAAAGTGTAGCAGATGGGCTTGCTGTGAGTTTATCTGCCTTATCTACCAACATTGATCAAAATTTATCAGCTAATGGTCAAACTCTGGTAGCGTCTATATCTATAGGTAAGAGTAAAATACAGCCTATTTTCACCAGCCATTCTTCTCTCAAGACACCTTGCAAGAGGATATTGTATATCACATACAAAATATTAGCTTTTAGTTCTAAAAACAAATAATTTTGTTGTTTGTGACTGGGTATCTTGAAATGAGTTCAGCTGTCTGCAATGTATAAAAAGCCACTTCGCAAATGACAGGCAATGCCAGAGGACACAATCGACATGTCAATTTCAGATACCTTTTGTATTAGAAATTAGTATAGCCTTGCAACTGTTAAAAGTTTGTGATTTTAATTTGATGGTCCTTAATTATTTGCAATATCATATATCTATAATTGGTAATCAACTCTCTATCACTAAGGAGTGGAGTGAGTATCTGGTGCAACCAAGATATAAGATGTTGTGTTCAAGATACACTCTAACACACAGCATAGAGTGTTTGTTTTTCAAATTTCTGTGACAAATAATTGTAGGCTTCAAATTATTATATCTTGGAGTGACTTGCATTTGCACAAATTTTTATGCAATCATACAATATCGAATCAAAGATGGTTATGTATCAATATCAAGGCAAGAAAAGGCATGGTGTTTGTGCACATGGCGTTTGACATTGTCCAATTCATGGGATTCGACCCCTGTGAAGTGACCCGTGAAGAGATGCCCAACAAAAATGGTACCAAAAAAAGCTGGAAGAATGACGCTACTTATTAGATGTAATACTTATAGTTTAAAGCAGCTTTAAACATTTGTCACACCTGATGCTATTTATAATGCCAAACAGCAACTGATGACCATGACCAGTTCTATATCAAGAATTATAACATTTATTTTCCCCCTCGGGAACAACACCAGAAACAATCCCAGGAACGAGCCCAGAAACAACACCAGGAACAACTCCTCGGACCCCTCGAACACTGGGAACAAAATTCGGTACACCTTCTCAAACAACACCAGGAACTATACCACGTACAACACCGAATAAATATAATATAATACATATTCCGAGAGTGCAAAAATCGACTTGCGCCAAAGTGATGGCTACAGTATGTGATATTTTGGGATTAAAGTCAGAGAATGAATTGAATGTATCGAATGTAATGCATTGCATATGGTTTTTGCAGAAGCAAGGTCACACAAGGTCACACTCTCGCAAACAATGCATCCTGCTTTATCCAAGCGTGAACAAATACCACACCGAAATGATACTACATGATTCGGGACAAAAAATGCTTTCATAAGATGTATGGTAATTTCAATTCAATTCAATTTTAGGTTTATTAAAAAATATCTTCGCAGCCGTGAGACTGAATTGCGATACAGTTCACAGATTAAGAGCAGGCAAAATTACAAAATTGACATATCAATTACAACGAACATAGATTGGCATGAAATACAAATAAAATATAAAATATATAAATAGAAAACCAAATAATTCAAATGAGAGTTTCAGAAAAATGGGTTGTTGAAATTAGGAGATTAGCGATTATTCAAAACTGTTTTAAACATCTAAAGACAAGACGAGAAATTGCAAAAGATTATATTTCAAATTAAAAACTTATCTTTGGAGTGGTAACAGACATGTTTGTTCATTATAAGTAAATCATCGATTTACAAAATTCACATGGTAATAAGTTAAATGTATTGCACAAAGTTTTTAGTTTAGGAGAGTACAAACAAATAAGATTATTCACAACCATTGTAAACATCTTAAGACAAGACGAGAAATTGCAAAAGATTATAATTCAATTAACTGTTCATAGATGATTTTTGAAATATTTGAAATATTTTTTAGGTGTACACTTTTGTTTGACTCACACTGTAGTTTTAATTTAATGCATATAACATTTTGTTGAATCGCATTTTCATCAATAAATTCAAATATAATGAACGACCACGTGGACCTCTGGAATTATTCCAATGATGATTATTTCCCTTTCTCGATCATTACATTGCTTCCTTTTCTGTGTTCAGAGAACGCATGTCTCTCAACACCCTGTCAAAATGGAGGTACTTGTCACCAAACTGAAATTGGTTACCAGTGTATTTGCATGGATCCATTCATCGGCCGGAACCGATTCATACTCTATCAGAATATGAAAACAAAATTGGGTTCTTCTTGCATCCTAAAGCGCTACAATGGATTTTGTATAGGCATGTTTTTGCCCATGTATGCTATGTATTACAAGAGCTCGCACGCACGGACATTATCTTAAACGGACGCTCATTCCGTTATTAATGGGCAGAAAAAGGTGAACAAGGTATCGAAATACTTGAGAAAATGTGTTAAATATGATGACAGAAACAATTTGGCGATTCTTTGTTGCAAAATGCCATTACGCACGGAAACGCGCGTGCACGCGCATGCGCGCGTATTTTTGCGAAATGCTTAAAATGGCCTAAAACGTATGCAAAATGAATTTGAGACGATTTGGAGCATTTTTATTTTTTGCGCGCTCGCTGACGCGCGGACGTAAGCATGCGCGCGCATTTTTTGACCTGAAATTAACCGGACGGATATTGACCTTAATCATGATAAATATGAATGAGAAATGCCTTTCCGTTTTGAAGATATGATCATGAGTTGAACATTCTAAACAAAACACAAAATGGCGCCCGGATGACGTCACGATGACCTGATGACCTTGAAAATGTTTCTGTCACGTCTCATGACAATGATCTATGACTGTACCAAAATTGAATGAAATTGACGAAACCAAACTTGAGTTATCCGGACCACAAAAAAGTGGGGAGAAATAAAAATAAATAAATAAAGAAAGAAAGAAAATTCTGACAAAAACAGTAGGTGATCTGTCATTGACAGACCACCTAATAATAAGAAAGAAAGAAAATTCTGACGAAAAAAATAGGTGATCTGTCGAAAACGACAGACCACCTAATAATAAGAAAGAAAGAAAATTCTGACGAAAACAATAGGTGATCTGTCGAAAACGACAGACCACCTAATAATAAATAAAGAAGAAAGAAAATTCTGACGAAAACAATAGGTGATCTGTCGTTGACAGACCACCTAACTAGAGCTGGTTTGACTGTACCTGATTCATTAATCATTTATCTATCAACTCTGATGCTACCTTGGTATTTCTAACGCCTGTCTTTTCTTTTCACTACCATCCTAGTTTCCACACCATCTTCGTCACCGAGTGTCTCTTCTCCACCCAAATCAAATTCAACTGTCGTAGGAAGCGCTGTTGGTGCTATTGTTGTGATTGTTATCGTTATAGTGCTCATCATCATCTTTTACAAGCGAAGAAGGTTAGAAAGATACCTTGTACCTAACTTGTCCCTCTCATCAGTCCATTCTCATCGTATTTCCCCATGGCATGGGGCTTATACCGTATGGGCATGATAATACAAGCTGAAGTATTTTCTTAATGTTATAAAGTTATTTAATTACTTTCTTTATTTTTTAAATTGCTATTCAATATAAATATTCATTCTAAAGCAAAACGTTTTCAAAATGTTAGGGCAACCAGTTTGAAAGACTTACGATGTTACTGACATGTACTTTAGACGTACCATTTTATACTAATTCCCACATATTAATTGTCATGTTTACAAGAGTTAATTTGTACCTATTTATTGGTACCCTAATTTAGATATTCTAAAGCATAACGCTATTAAAATGATCTGGCAACCCTCTTGAAAGGATAATGTTAATTTTAATAGTACCATACCAATTCCCACGTGTTTTTCTATATATCTATTTATTGAGACTTGATAATTCCTTTAATTAGGCATTTCATCAATGAAATTTATCTTTGCTTTCATATCATTAACTTTCAGCAATGAATCAGCCTCTACCAAGTCTAGAGGGAAGGAGTCCGATTCGTCTCCGCAGTATGAGAACCCTGTATTTGATCAGTCACAGACAGACGTCCATACCTTCCAAGATCATACCTATCATGATCTGAATAGTGATGCTCAGGGCTACGAGATTCCTACCGGCCCTCATCCCTACAAAGATATTAATACCGATGATCAGGGCTACGATTATATTGCCGACCCTCATACCTACCAAGATGTAAATACCGATGCACACGGCTACGATGATATTGCCGACCCTCATACCTACCTGGATCTTAATAGTGATGCTTAGACTCTTAATAATAATAATAATGTCAACTTATAAAGCACACATATCCATTCTAAAAGACTGCTCAAGGCGCTCTTGTACAACATCAAAATAATTATACAATATTAAAACTACGACATAATTATACTATATAAAAACTACGACATAATTATACAATATTAAAACTACGACATAAACAAATGGTGCTTAAGTTTCTTCTTAAATATTTCAACTGATGATGATTGTCTTATTTCTAATGGTATAGTGTTCCATAGTTTGGGTGCAACGTCTTACCGACCCTCATACCCTGAAACTTGATCAAGGAGCTAACTACGAAAAATTGAATGACGCAATAGAGAAAGATTATGTCAACGTGCCAGGCATTTAAACAGTAGGACTATAATGAAACATTAAATACAGTCTTAATGTGCTGATTAAAATTTGAATATATGAGAAGAAAAAAGATCCAAGGCCATCACAATGATTTAAAGTTATCAAGAAAAAAAAGATTTTATAATTTTGGGAGACAAAATTTGTCTCAATTTAACACAGAATTATGTAAGTCCATGTATTAATTATTAATTCTGTGAAGATGAAACCATGATTTAAAACTGATCGTGAGATATTAAAGTTTATCTTAATGACTGGAAGAAAAACTATGCTGATGGACTTGGGCGTTTCCCATCATGTAGCATATTAGAATAACATGACAAAAAATTGTCCAGAACTATCATGGCTTTCTTTTCTTTGTCCTGTGTTCCTCTGTTTTTATTTACCATATCTATTTGCGTTACTACCAAATCTGTTGATATCATGGATCAGTTGAAATACTTTGTTTGGCTGTGTAAGGGGTAAGGCTCGACTAGCACATGTGCTATTATCTGCCCTCTTTTACCAACCAATAGTTTCTCATCTTGTATATGTAAAATCATTGTATGACATGTCTTGCTGTTGTTGGTAAATAAATCAAATCCAATCAATAGATGCAGACCATAGGTCCCACCAATACATGAAAGTCAGGGTATGGGATTAGTTTCTTTGAATGGATATATATATTCAATTCAATTCAATTCTATTTCGTCCAATAATGACATGGAAATTCATTGTGGGATTTTACATATTGCGTTTACATCAAAATCATGTATAAAAAGACATCAAAAGCATGACATTGAAATAGGATATAATTACATTCAAAATCGGTGAGAAATTGGAAAACATATTAAATATGACATCGACACAATGCACCAAAAAGTAAAGAGGCCCCAACATTACATGTTGTATTAATAGGACATCTATATATATAACCCTAAATGTTACATTAACAGGACACCATACAACTGGTATATTACCCTGACCCTAACCCTAACACTGACACTAATTAAACTAATGACTATTATTGTTTCTTGGGAGGCCTATAAGTTTCCTCTGTCTGCAAACGTAAAGAGAGGTTATAGTAATTCTATTGTTCAAGGACATGAAAATGCATGATGCAGTTGCAAATAGAGGAAAAAGTCATGTACATACACGTATGCCATAAAGTAAGAAAGCATATTCCATTTTGTTAATTTCGTTTTTATATATCAGTAGGACAATGTACAATGTTCTATTCTACTTCTGTCTGTATTGGTTATTAGTAGTGTAATTGTCTGTTATTGGTGGTGGAAAGATTTATTACCACATTAGTGGACAAGAATAAACAAATAATCAATTGTATAATTGTTATTAATAGTAGTAGTATTAGTATAAATCATTCTACTATTACGACTACTAAGTAGTGGAATTCAAGTTGATTAATAGGTCAACGATAATGTGCTAGGATTTGAACGATAAAATATGAAAATAAGTTTTGAATATAGACATAGACGATGCATAAAGAAATTAACGTTCATTTAAGCATTCTATTTTGCAGAGGTGGATGTTTAGTTAATAATTAGATAGTAGAATTAGAAGTTAGTTAATAGATTTAGATAATGCAATCCAGGGCCCCGTCTTACAAAGATTTGATATTGATCCGAATCAATATCAAGACCATAAATCAATCACAAGTCTGCAGTCTCCCATCTCTTATGTACATAGTTGTGATTGATATCAATCACAAAAAAGTTGCGATTAATATCAACTCTTTGTAATACAGGGCCCAGGTCAACATGTATATATTACCATATGAGCAGGAGATGTTTAGGCACATAATGAATGTGAGTCCTGAAAAATATATAGAATGCAAAATATGTAAACATCAAAGAAGTACACTGTTGGTCATAAAGGTGAAATAATTTTTCTTACCCCAATTTATGGAGTGATTTTGAAAATGATTTATTCCTAGATAAAGATAAAAGATATACATTCTCAAATTGTATTGGATACAAGTTGCGATTGTTTGTTTTGCGTGACTGTTTAAGCATGTGTATGCTACTATACTTATCAACTAGGGGACCTACGTCCTTAACTCATAACTGACAGTAATGAGGATTAATGCCTCACAAAAGGGCACTAATATAGCACATCGACACGGTTTTGATCCTGTGGCCTTACAGTAGCGAGGCCATTGCTTTGCCACTGAATCATGACTAGACGCAACGGTGGCTAGGGTAGGGGCTGGCCCCTCAAATACCAACAAATGAAAAAATAAAATGCATTCAATTATCAATAATTATTTGCATTTTCCCCCGGTCCTCAACCGGAAAAAATTATCCGTGTGGTAACCATAATGATTGGCCGTATAGAGGAATATTTGATAAAGAGTGGATGTAGTACCTTTTCAAACCGAGCTATTTATATTTTGTTATGTAAAAATGTTCTAAATACATTTTTTTTGTGTTTTATGACATGACTTTTTGCAATGAAACGAAAGGTTGTAGAAAATTGTCTTCATGTTACTGCATTGTTTCAACATAATCTATCTGTAGTATATAAAATAAAGACCTCTCTTTGAAAGGGAGTTGTCTGAAGTTTAGCGATATTTCAGGAAGCCTACGGAGCGAGATAGAGAATGAAGGGGAGAACGGAGAGAGGGTGTGAGAGGAGGAAGAAAGGGGAAGAGAGACAGGCATACAGACAGAGAAACACAAAGTGATAGACTGGAGAACAGAGCCGGGGGCAGGGGTTGCTGGGGCACACCCCCCCCCCCCCATTCTAGTACCCGTAAAGGGACTCTTTTTTAACATAGGAAAGATGTCCCCTTTTACTTCAGATAAATGTCCCTTTTTATTTCTAATAGATGCCGCATATTGCTCCGGTTAGTCTCATTTCACAACGCCCCCTATTGTCAGAGCATGGTCAGAGCCAGCAGCCTAACATGTTAGCCTATGGACGTTTTTTAAAAGCACATCCACCCCGATGTTCGTTATCACTAGCTCTTTCATTGGAGCCCTCATGTTTCATTGACTTTTGAAAGTTCACCCACCGTAATTTTTCAAAATAGGTTGCAAGCTCGTCATTGCCTATAATACACATGTGAAACAAGTCTAACTTTGGACTCAGTTTTCCAAGCGATTTGAAGATTATAGGTCGAGCACACGAAACAAAAAAAGCATGAATTATCATAGATCACTTCTGCCTATTTCATTTTGTCCAATTCATCCAACCCCCCACCGTAATTTTTCAATTTAGTAAAAGCAAACATTTTGCCGACGTAAGCAAAAACATGAATATTCATGAACGTATACAATGATGATAATGATGGTACGATGATTTTTGTTCAATTCATTTTAGTCTTTTTTTAGTAATGACATAATATATATATATATATGTAATGCGAAAGGAAAATAGACAGTGATGGTTGTGTAGCTTAAAGCAAATTTCTCCAATGCTGTCCTCTTTTTTGATTTTGTGTGTGTGCAAAGGTTACAAAAGATTGTCTCCGCCGGGAATCGAACCGGGTCACTGGCTAAGAACGCCAATGCCTTAACCACTAGACCACACATGTCCCCTCCCCATCCGCCTTCCCCCAGCATATTTTCATTTGTTAATAATTGTTATTTCAATGACGAAATTATATCTGTACAATTTATATGTATCTTATCGAAGTAATCATAATCAAAAGATTGTTTTTTTTTTAATATTTGTGGTGTATTACTCAGAGGAAAAGCCTTTCCTATCAAAGCAGTTTAATGATGATGGTGATGGTACGATGATTAGTTTGTTCAATTCATTTTAGTCATTTTTAGTCATGGCACAATTTATATATAAATATAATGCGAAAGGAAATTAGACAATGACGGTTGTGTAGCTTAAAGCAAAGTTCTCCATTGCTGTCCTCTTGTTTATTTGTTCTGCAAAGGTTAAACAAAATTGTCTCCGCCGGGAATCAAACCATTTCATTGTGAGAGAACGCCAATGCGTTATCAACTAGACCACATAGACGGGTCAGTGGCTTCAGCGACACCAAATTCAGTTGACTAACATATTTGGCAAATCTCGTGGAAAAAAATAAATGTACTCCTGCGTTGGTTGACGAAATAAAGACAATTGAAGAAGAAATAATAAAAAAAACCATAGGAGATACAATATATTCTGATTTGAGGCTTTAAACCTTAAATACATGCAGTTCTTGAATTTACATTGTTGTTCTATAAGTATACTGTTTATACAGTTCCATGTGCTTCTTAATTTAAAGTTTCTTAGTCGAAAATGATATAAACATATTTTACTCAGAAAAATGTACTTTACTATTGATTTTTTGGTTGTATTCATTCATTGTTCATAATGTCCTTGAAAAAGGAGACGCAAG